TACCGTGATGCTATTTTGACCGGTGTTGACCAATTGCTTACATTGCTTTTATGGAGTTGCACCTTAAATAAAAGTTGAAGTTTGAGTGGAGTAGAACAAACTTTGTTTTTGGACCAAGAGCTAGATAAGCTTGTAAGAAAGTCAAAACGAGCCCTAAAATTGGAATCCATGACTGTTTTGGGGAGCTCAAAATTTGGCTAAGTCTGGATGACTGAATTCAGGATTTCAGTTTTCATGTACCCCACTTTGGAGCCTTGTATCTCTCCAACCAGACCAAATAAGACTTTGAACCTTTAAGAAAAGTTGTAGTACTCATATAGATCTACAACTCTTGTTACTACATTTTGTGCCAGAACTAAACAGATCAGGAGGTACGAAAGGACAAAGATTTATGTTTAGTCGCGTTTTTGGGGTAGAATTGCGTTTTGAATCTCATTGTACAGCTAGCTCGGCGTGGTGTGACTACACGCCGAGGTTGGCCCTTCGGCGTTGAATGACCCGACGCCGACGTACTGGGCCCCATGCGCCACCGTGTCGCCGTCGACCGGGGTCGTTCGTGACGTGGCAAGACCTCGGTGTCGTGTCAGTCGACGCCGACCCTCATACCTTGGCGTCATGTCCTAAGACGCCTAAAAATGGTCTATTTTCAGCAAACGTTTTGGCTGGGGTTTTTTTGTAAAAAATGTTTTCAAAAGGGACCAAAATACAAAAATATCACGTTCTTCGCAGGCATTTCCGGCGACTGCTTCCACTAGCAATTTGCAGATGGGACTCGGGAGAACCGCGCCGCGCGCCCGCCGGGCTGGAACGGCGGCGGCGGCGGCTCTGTCGTCTCTGTCACGGCGCGGCGCTGTGCGCCTGTGCCTTTGCGCACCCACGCCACGTACGTCCCTGTCGTCCGGCCCGTGTCTCCGACCCCGACTAGCTTGCTCAGCTAAGCTCGTGCCTGCCGATGATACAGCTAGCTGACTCTGAAAGCTACAGAAGCCGGCCGGATCGAGTCGGCTGTTGACGACGATGGATGGAAAGGCCGCGGCGTCGTCCACAAACAAACCCGGTGCGAAAGCCGATCGAAATGGCCGGACCGGCCGGCGCACCGTCCGCCCGTCGATCACGGGCCGCGCCACCAGCACAGTACTGATACCAGCACTCTGGCAGGCGAGCGCACTGACGACGTCGTCCCAGAGTAGGCTGGCCGGAGCCGGAAGCCGGATATGGCTGTACGAAAGCGACGAGCACGACGTGAGAGAGAGGAATAGGCACACATGTGCGTCGATACGTGGGTGGGGAGTGGGTGGGGAGTGGGCGTCGATACGTGGGTGCCGAAATTTCTCAGCTGGAACGAGAAATTGGCGTGGCGTCAAGGAAATGATGCAGCGAGGCCATGCACCCAGAGTCGGGGAGGCAGGCAGGCAGAGCGCGCAGCGCAGAACACAGCATGGTAGGCTGGTAGCTACTGCCCAGCTGAGCTGATCAGTGTGTGCATGTTAGGGTGGACCAGGCCACCCACCCCGGACATGTATGGTAGTCAACGGTGCATGGTGGGGCATGCAAGGGGCCGTGCACGCACTAGCTAGAGCACCATGTCAACACAACAGATGCACACTGGCACGGCGGCAAGCCAGCCACCACCACCTCGGATTCGGAATGCTCTGCTCCAGCTCTAGCATCTACCCTCTAGCTCATGGAAGGAAATGAACAGGGCCAGTACTAGCTAGCTAATGACAAGTGTGCAGCAGATTTTGGCCAATAGGTTTCTGTTTCTGCTCTTTCCAAGCTGGCACTTGACTACACGTCTCTGATACATACACTAGCTAGAGTGTGAAAACGAGACACGGAATAATTAGGCGCAACAATGTGTGGATGGCGACAGTACAAACAAGGTTGTCCGCTAACGTTAACTCGCAACGGGTACATGGAATGGAAGTCGAAGGGATGGCGGTTTTTTCCTGCTCTGTTTCAAGCGAGCACGTTCTCCGGAGGTGGAGAACCAACTAAGGAAAAGAGAGCGCGAGCACGCAACTTGAGTGGCTCAACAAAGCTTGGAAAGGTTCCAAAAGTATCTGCCTTTCCCGCACCAGCACCTTCTTGGCTTCTTCCCTGCCTCTGCCTCCATCGACGGGGACGGACGGCAGCAGCTATGGCTGTGCTGTGCGTAAGCATGCATTTGTGTGATCTAAAGTCAATGAAGACTTCTATTTTCTTTCTGGGATCAGCAGACCGAGGCACCATTATTAGTAAACGTTTACTAATAGTAGAGTCTAGTACTGCACGTCTGAACCCTACCTTTCACCATTTCTGCTTAGTGTTTCCTCCTTTAATTTCGTCGGAGTGGCCGGCTTCTAAAGGTAAAGAGAGAATATCCTTTGCGTTACACGGTATATACAGTGCAACACTACTCGATCGGTTCGACGTTCTGATTACAACAACCACATTCACACACTGATAATTTCTGCTTGTTGGCTATATAGTATATTATAGTGTAACTTTTTGTCCTGTTGAAGTTTGTTTTTTTAACGTCGGTAACGCCTTCTTTTAAATTTTCACATACTAGAAATTTATCACAAATTCAAAAGTAAAGTCCACTGGCAGTCGTCGTACTTGTTTGCCTATGTTATCCTAGTCCTTAAACCCGCGAATCGCTCATTTAGATCCTCAAACTTATTCATTTGTGTCATCCCGATTCCTAAACTCGTAAACGGTCCGTTTTGGTCCTCAAACTAGTTTGGCTGTGTCATCCTGATCCTTAAACATGCAAATCACCTGTTTAGGTCCTCAAACTAGCTTGTTTAGTTGTATCATCCTGGTCCCTAAACTCATAAATAGTTCAAATCATCAACCTATGTTCGGGTCTTAGATGGGTCTAGGCCTATGTCCGTATGCAAGGACATCTCCATGGGTTCCATGGTCATATGCGCATATCAACCCAAGCCTCCAGACGTGCCGGCCCCGGTTGTGTCGCTACCAACCCTAGCCGCCTCTCTCAAGCTTTGATGGTCCCGAGCCACGAGCTCACTAGAAGAGATGGAGCTCAGGGGATAGAGGGATGGAGAAGAAAGATGAAGGTGACATATGGGCTCCACATGTAAGCACACCATATCAAGACATACCGGCATGGATCTAGATCCATTTAGATCGCTCTTAGATCCGAACATACGGTGGCGGATCCGAAGCAGGCTCCGCCAGGGCTAACTAATATAAGACTTAAAATTTACCCCGCCCAAGTGTTCAACCAATAGACTCAAACAATACGTAGAACATTGAAGGTAGAAAAGTACCAAATTACGAGTCTTCCATAACAAAAAAAAGAACCATACATGTCTTCATGAATTAACACCACTTCCACTTGTACCGACATCCTCAATTCTACATAAAAAATTTTCAACATCTTAGCCATTTATAAAGCAAGATAACATTATGTATTGAAATAGACAAATACAAGTAAACAACACGCACCTTGAGCCCTCGTTTGGCAAATTCATCTTACGGTTTCTTAAGCCTTGAAAGCGCTTAAGAATTTTTTTCATCTTCAATCGATGCAAACAAATCCCGCTCAATATAGCACATCATGCTACTATTCAGTCTCAAATATTCAATGACAGTCATGCTCAATGAAATGAAATATTCATGACTTTGCAATGTAAAAGGTAGCAATCATGGAGCAATTTTCAAAAAGAAATGAAACTAAAGAGTAGAAATCAACCTATTTCATATTTTCATGGATCCAAAGAACATGCAGTGATTAGTAGGGTGGGGGGTGAAAGCAAGCCAATGCGAGGGCCACGAGGCCGAGCCGCCAGAGGTCGGCCACAGTCGCTCCAAGACTCGGCAGACCAGCAATGAGACAGGCAGCGAGGCAGCCAGGGCTGGGGCCACCAACCGCCGGCGGGGCGGCGCCACAAGTGGGGGTGACTGGTGAGGCCGTGAGGGGGCGACGGCCGGCCGGTGTGGGCACGGCGCGAGGTCAAGCGTCGCCAGGGCGCAGGAGGCGACACGGAGGGAGGCAAGGCTTGCAAGGCTTGCTGCCGCTGGAGGTGGCCGGGAGCCGACGGACGCGGACGGAGGTCGCGCTGAAGCGCCCGTCGGCCGTCATGGGAGAAGCGATCTGGCGGTGGCGTGGAGGCGATCTTGAAATGGGAGGGGAGGCCGAGGCTCCGAGGTGGAGGCTGCCCTAGTGCCTTGCCAGGGCGAGGCCATGAGCCCACGAGTGCCTGCCCGGTGTGCCGGTCGAGGCCAGCGCAGGACGGGAGCTGCTGCTGCGGGCTGCTGGCCTTTCCTCCTCCGCCTCCTCGGTGTGGGCTAATGGGCTGAAAGGCCTTTTTATGCCGTTTTTATAAAGCAATTCCTCACTGCTCATGGGCCTCGCCCCGGGCTGCAGCCCGGGCAGCCCGGGGCCCAAATCCGCCAATGCGAACATATATTGAGAATTTGAATCGGTGATTTGCCATTCAGTAATTTGGACCTCAAGTCTCGAGGTGTTATGAGCATGCCGCCACACAAGTGAGCTTAACTCATGTTATGGTGATTTGGACATCAGGTGACATGATTAGTAAGTTTAGGAACTTATTAAATGTGTACTCTGATAGTAGTTTGGAGACCTAGATATGACACCCCGTTCCAAATTCGAGCACCGTTAATGTATGTATTTTACTCTATTGATAGATAGAAGGCCAAACCAAAACTCTGTATGTACGCGTTATGAACGTACCGTGTGGCCGACTCCATTGCGCGTCCGGCCGCAAACCGTGCGTGCTTCGACGATCGACTTGCGGCCTCCGCCTCCTTCATGGGAATGGGAGATTGGGACGAGGGGCGCCGCTTGCAGTAGCAGCTCTGGACCTCTGGCATTATAAATAGAACCGCCTCGGCGCCACCACGACCCCGAGCACCCGAGAGCCAACACAAACAAGGTCCCAGAGCGAGCAGCAGCAGCCAACCAGCCGCTCCCCTCCTCCTTTGCTCCCCTTGGACAACGCAGCGCGTAGCTTTCGGAGGCCGACATGGGGCGTGCCCGCAGCAGCTCTCGGCCACCCGCGTCTCCTGCCCTGCTGCTCCTCCTCCTCGTCTGCTTCTCCCACGGCGCGGCGGCGGCTCGTCTCCTGCCGCTGCAGCCTGCTGTCGTTCGTCCTCTGGTTCTTCACCAAGGTACCTAGCTACCTCACTCGTCCGGCCGTGCCATGCGTACACGGCTGGTGAAGCTCTTTTCTAACCCCATCCTATCTACCAGCTGATGGCCTGCTGCTTAGTTAGCTGCCCTGATGTTCTTGTCCTTTCTGCAGCGGAGAATGGTGCCACAGGGGCAGCTGCCGACGGCGGGCTCGTGCTTCAGGAAGGTGATGAGGCCGCGGGCAATGGCGACGAGCTCTCCATCTCAGAGGTGAGAAGAAGGGAGAAGGAAAAATCCATCCCAATGAATCTACAAGTCTCGGTTAGACCTGATGTCAGCTAAAGCTAATCTTTCATGTCCTGCATCTGCAGATGATGGGAGCAGAGGAGGAGGCGGCGGCGGTTTGCGAGGGGGAGAATGACGAGTGCTTGGAGAGGCGGCTCCTCGGCGACGCGCACCTCGACTACATCTACACGCAGCACAAGGGCAAGCCGTGACCGACCGTGAGGAGGAAGACATGCATCTAGCCTTGCCAGTTTGGGTTGGGTTGGGCAGATCAGAGTGCGTACATGCATGCTGGGAAGTTGATACATCACGCTGGAAACATCATCTGGTTCTATGATACCATATTGGAATATATCTACATGCTCGTTTAATTATGTTGTTGCATGAATCCGTTTGTATTGTAAATCTGTATGTGTGTGTGTCCGATACTAATACATGGTTGCTACCTAGTACTAGTGCCAGGTCCATGCCTGTGGTAGATAGTTATATCCCGGCAGTATAAAGATTGCGCAGGTCCATGCTAGAGTAGTGGAGAGTGGTTTGGTTGTTTTCTCACTGATGTATAGGCCGGTGTGCATGCTAGCTAGCTCTACTAGTTTGATTTGGTGTGTGTGTGTGTGTGATCGAGATCAATTTGTGAACGAGCTTAATTGTGTCCGTCATCGATCCACTCCAACTTAATCAAATGGAACTTAACCTAGTGTACTACACACACTTGTACTAACTCTGAGCAAGCCTGAACGTCTGTCTCCCTGTCAGATTCTCTGATGATTTCCTACTTGTAAACAGTTTACCCTCTCTCTCTCTCTCTCTCGGCCTGCCTGCTGGATCTTGTCAATCCAAGGAAATAATAACCATTTTCTTGTTACCAGCCTTCAAGAAAACAAGCATTGTGGGTGATGTAGCCACAGTTGCTACACACAGTCTACAGTACTAAAATATGTGACGCCGTGTTTAGTTGGAGGCCAAATTCCAAAAAGTTGCTACAGTACCTGTCACATCGAATGTTTGCGGCTCGTGCATGGAGCATTAAATGTAGACGAAAAGAAAAACTAATTGCACAGTTTGGTGGGAAATTACGAGATGAACGTTTTGAGCCTAATTAGTCCATGTTTGAACACTATTTGCCAAATAAAAACGAACGTGCTACAGTAGCCCCAAAATCCAAATTCATGGAACTAAACAAGGGCTGAGTTTACAATTTACATTACAGCTGAGCTGCTCCCCGAGATTCGACATGATGCATGGTTGGAGGGAGCTGGCTAGCAGAAGTCAACACCATGATACCATTCGGCTACACTTCCTTTTTTTCTAAAAAAAAGAAAAAAGGATGGAAACATGTCTTGGATGAGCAGAGCTGCCCCGGAAAGAGAGACAGGCAAAGATGCTCCTCTGAATCAGATCAATCCCCAGTCCCCACATTCGAGCCGTGGCAATGATTCACAGGCACGGAGGACTACTTGATTGCAAACTGGTATATAAAAAGAATGCAATTATGGGATTCGTGCCGGTTAAAGTACCTCAAGTTTGACCAAGTTTATAGCAAATAGTATTAATATTTATCTTCAAATAAATTTATTATGAAAATATATTTTATAACTAATCTAATGATACTAATTTTGTATTATGAATGTTCATATTTTTTTATATAATTTTGGTCAAAGTTTAGATTAATTGACTCTTCGAGAAACAAGAATTGCAAGTGCCGTGGTATCTGTGAAAGCCATTGAACCGTTCAGTAGTCAAATCTGAAATCAAAGCGATACACTAGCAGTATAAGAAAGTAAAGCACTATGCAAGTGCCATGGCTTGCCAAGGTTGACGAGCCTATAGCAGTATATATAGCTGCTGAGTTTACATGTTGCATTGGCAGATGGTCCACTAGAATTGCTTCAGTACTACTCCGGCACTCTGCTACTGAATACTGATAATAAAAGGGAATCCAGCCAGCCATCGATCTCTTTGTTTACTTGAATTCTTGAAATGCATGCGTGAAAATATGCTAGCTTTTTTGGTTTGTGCAGGTCGAGTGGCCAATGCCCAATAGTGCTCCGTCCATTATCTGATCAAGCTAAGCACAGTGAGTGACCCATCAGTGCTGCTACTGCAGCACTGATCTCAGGTAGCCCCCCTGTACTGCTGCTGGCTGTTTCTGGTTCTAGTTTATTAGAGCAGGAGTGCCGCAGGGTATAGTGCGCATGCATAATGCATTGTTGGGGTTTTATTGGTTAAAGCAGCATTGTCAGCTCACTGCACTAGCTAGCTAGATGCTGTATCTATAGTACTATCATATACTCCTCCGATCCTATACGCAAATGCAACAGATGGAAACGCTGGACACTTTATTATTTGCAGTCGCTTCTTTTCCGGCAGCAGGCAGGTCGTCAATGTGAACAACCAAAGAGGTCGGCCACTTGCAAAGCTGCTAGCTGCTACTGACTATTTCGATCGTGGGAGCACTTTTTGCTGGTTTTTGGCCGCACAAACAATAATAATCCACCGTACGTCTAGGTCTGCCTATCCGATCCCGGCCGGATAGAGCGACAGATCTTGCTTGCGCACTGTGTCTATAGATCAGATCAGGTATACTCTTGTATGCGTCCGTGTCTGTTCGTGCAGGGGAAGTTCAGTTCATTTGGCCATCCTTGTTGTTGGGTACTCGTACTCCTAGCTACCGTCCTAAAGCAGGATACGATAGACAGAGTAGCTAGGTGACAGGATAAACACGCACGATGGTCAGTATGCAATTCTGTAAACAGATGGTGGTCGGCATGCGCATCAATGCATGCATGTAGGTAGTGGCAGGTCAGAACTGAGTGGCCGGCGGCCGGCCGGTCTCTCAAATGGTGGCCGGCATCTGTACATCCATCATCCAAATATCCTGTTATGCGTCGATCGGCTTGTGCAGTTCTTTGCGGACCAAAGTTTGGTCACTACTTGTGTGTTTGACGGCAGGTGTAGAGGTACACGTTTGGCCATGCATCATTTGACCGTGTCTGGTTATTTTCATGCATCCATGACTCGATCGTCCATCAACAATACTCCTACGCTAGGAGTATAGGAGTATGTTTGTTGAGGCTTCAGACAGAGTCAGTTTTTTTTTTTTCGGTACGCGCAGGCATTAGCTAGCTGCACATGCTTTCAACGCCTGGCGTGGGCGTGGCTAGCTAGGAACTACTCCTAGGATCGGACTACTAGGTCACTAGGACGACGCGGTTGCCATCGAGTGACCAATTGACCATGACAGCGACCATACAAAAGCGCAGCATCCAGCCAGTGGCATCAGGTAGGAGTACGCCCGTATTCAGTTCCCAACCAAAATCCTAAAAAGTGCAGTATCCATCACATCGAATCTTGCGATACGTAAAAAACTAATTACACAGTTTGGTTAGAAATTGTGAGACGAACGTTTTGAGCCTAATTAGTCCATGATTGAACACTAATTGACAAATAAAAAACGAAAGTGCTACAGTAGCCTACATTCCAAACTTCAACCAACTAAACACGCGCTACGTGTATGACGGTGTTGTTCAGAAACACAAGGTAGCAGGCTCTTTAGATCTAGCAGTACACACCGTACCTGCAACTGCAATAGTATTGTACATTTGTACTAGTAGTTCCCGGAACAGAAACAGGTGGCAGCATAGCTGCATGCATGCGCCATGCGGTGCAGGTCCCTGTCTCTGCTAGCTCTTGCCTGTTCCCTTGTTCATATATAATGTTAAAATAATATATATTATTTTACACTAAATTAATCAGTAATAAATAATGCACGATCATTTACGGGCTGCCGACGGTCACGGGCACACGGCACGAGCCGAGGCTGAGTGTGACCATTGATCGATGACTGAGTCGTGCATGCCAGCCTACGCCTATGACTATGCCTATGCCTATGCCTGTGTAGCTAGTCTGCGCTCAACACTGCATGCAGGCTAGATGTAGAAGGGGAAGACAATGGCTAGTCTGCGCTCTACACTGCATGCCAGCCTATGCGAAGGGGAAGACAATGGCTAGTAGAGGAGAAGAGGAGGGGGTGCCGGCTAGATGTCGGCCGCTTGTAGCTAGATCTTGGCCACCCTTAACCTCGCCGACGGAGAAGGGGAGGGTGACGCTGGTGCAGGAGAAGCAGTGGGCGGCTCTGGTGGAGTAAAGGAGAGAGAGGATGCCGAGACGAGAATAGGAGGGGGGCGAGCGGATGCCCAGCCTTGCCTAGTGGGTGGGGTCGTAGGGCTGAACGAGACACACTCCGTGTGCTAAAACAACACTCTTTGAGACGGAGGGAGTATAGTAGTATGCATGATACAACATGAGTTACGGTTGTCGAGAACAGCTCTAGGCCTGGAATCTGGTCATTCGGTGGATGCACCGGAACAGCCGCTACTCTCTAGCTCCGCCTTGAGCCATTTATTACTGTTTTTAGTAAAATAAAAAGGAGACGAAACGGTTTTGGACGAGGCAGAGGAGATGTAGCTCCTCTAAAATGGATTCAGCTTCTCCAAATGAGCTCTTAGGGAGAAACCCTATCAAACAAGGCCTAAGCCTAGAAAGGCACAACTACTACTCTTTAACTTCCATAACTACAAATTGAGGTTGTACTTGTTAATCGGGCCACACACGATATAAATTACGTTATTTGCGATAAAACACATACATGGTTACAGACTATGCACCTAACATGTGGGCCCACATGTCATCCCTCTTTCATCTCCTGCTCACTCCTTCCTATGCGGCCCACATGTCGTTGATCTCTATCATATCCTTCCCACTCCCTCCCATGCGGTTGTGCCTATATTAAGGCCCTATTTGGTGCCGCTCTGGCTCCGGTTCCGATGGCCTTCCCACTCCCTCCCATGTGGTCGTGCCTATATTAAGGCCCTATGTTGGTGCCGCTCTGGCTCCGGTTCCGAGCTCTGGCACCGGAGCCAGAAGAGCAACACCAAACATAGCCATGAGGAGAAGCACTTTCAGGTGTCCAGTAGAGGAGC